GTGTGTGTGTGTGTGTGTGTGTGTGTGTGTATGCATGTATGTATGAATGCATATGAACATGAGTGAGAGAAAGAGAGATCTATGTATATGTATCTGTGTGTGTGTGTGTATTCATGTGTGTGTAATGACAATAATGATTATGACGACCTAATCTACAATCATAGCGATCATAACATATCAGAAAGATGTCACAAGCTAAACGACTACACTAATTAATGAGAAAATTATCAAGAAGTCTTTCAGAAACTGTGAGAAATACAAGAGGTTTGTCATCTGCTAGCAAGTAAAAAAAAAAAAAAAAAAAAAAAAAAAAAAAATCGTATCTATTGGCTAATGAGTTCCTAGTAATTATGTAATTATGTAGTGTAGTTTGGGACGATCTACATAGTGTCACATCTATTAACATTTAAGAAAATTTGGATTGTTTTTTTATCCTCCATTATGAAGATTAATGTAGCTTATGTTTGTCTGTACTCATTCTCACTTCCTTTTTAATATTGAAACCTGGTTTGTCGTTGCAGATTGCATAAGAAAAGGTCAGCGGTGCAGAAGAGATTTGTACAATCAATGATAATCAGGGTAAAATGGAAAATATTGAACATAATAGGAATAAAAATAGATAGAAATGAAATGTTTTTTTATACTTTTAATTAATCTCTTTATATATATACTTAAAGTAATAGATAGAAATGAAATTATTTTTAAAAACTTTTAATTGATTTTTAAATTGATTTTTAAAGAAAGTAATATTTTTCATATATAATTTTCTCCTTTCCCATCTGCTTCTATGAGGGAATCTAAACCTATCGTAAAGATTAATGGTTTTAGTATAAGGAATAGAGGATCAAGGGGATTAGGGGCATTGGGGGAATACCCGAAGATCTGATCCCAAAAGAGTTTCGAGAATGATAATAAGAAGGAGAAAAAGATGATGATGGTGATACTTATCATCATCTTCAATGATAGCTATGGTCATGATATTAATAACAGTGATAAAACTAATGATAATGATAATAATAACAGTGCTAATAATTATTATAATAATAATGATAATAGTGATAAAAATGATAATGATAA